TCGGACAGAACCCTTTGAACATATAAGATGTGCCACAATAAATCAGAAGAACTGCGTGAAAGGGGGAACATGCGCTATAAGAATTCAGGCTGATCTGCCCGAACATGGCAAATTTCGCAACTTGATTACAACAGTCTTCGAGCGCACAGTCTCGCAACAGGACCGCCAAGCTTCGCACCACGGCAAGCCAGAGGAATCCATGCGCACGATGGCTTCATATTCGATATACTTTTCGATAGATAGATAGATAGATAGATAGATTATGACAGATAGATAGATAGATCGCTATATATATATACACATAAATATATACACACATATATAAACATATATATGTATATATATATATATATATGTATATGTATATGTATATGTATATGTATATGTATATGTATCTGTATATATATATATATATGTATGTATGTATATGTATATGTATATGTATATTTGTATGTATATGTATATGTATGTATATATATATATATACATACATATTTGCAGGATTTGGGAGCATGTCATTGCAGTAGTATGTGCATGGCAAAGCCTTTGGCGATCGTGATCGGAGCCTGGAAGGGCCCTAACACTCCGAGAGTCGGCGTGAGGCATCTTTGCAAGGATTCGTGGGTCGGGGTCGATTCAATTTTCCGACGTGTCGGGAGACAGAGGATGATACAGGTTCTCAGGAGCTTGGCTGGATTTTCTATCGTAAACTTGCTCTTCGACGACCACTAATCACCTCCTGCTAGCCTTTACCTGCTTGCTCTCGTTGGGTAAAACAACACAGGGCGGGCATTGCAACCCTAAGACGAAACCCTCATCGGACCCAATATAGGGTCCCCGCTAAGATTGTTGGCAATGCGTCAGCGCTCTGGTGGGCGGATCGTGTCAACGGAACTCGGGTTCAACATGAAACATGACAACGTGGAGACGCATCTGAACTCACATCAAAGCACCCATCAACAGGACATCTCAGGAGCCTTGCAGAAGCCCTTGTAAAATTTCGACCGTATTGAAAGCCCCGTCTAGCGGCAAGCCGAGCCAGGTTGTACAGGTTCCTGCTCTGGTTCACTCTTCGTAGTTGGGGGTGTTGCCGCACATCCGTGGACACGCGCACGGACGTGCACTGCCGCTGCAGTCCACTGAAAAGCAACCATTGAAGCTGGACTCGGCTGCGCGATTTTTTCTCAGGAGGGCAGGTTGGACGCGCCAGCCACCCTGACTGCCTGGGCGAAGCGTTTCGAATTCGAGGTGGCGGGCCCTGGATCTTTATAATATAAGGATTCGGTATCTCGGTGTCTACCTTTGAAGGGGCCTGAACTGGGTCCATAAAGATACAGGAAGAATTCAATCACCAAGTTGCGCAGATGCAGCTTGCTCCTCGGCTCCCGCAGTCTCCACCAGATGCTATGTCGCGGAAGTATGCTTTGGTGCCCCCATAGGTCACGCAGCCTTCCAGGGGCTTGGGGGCTCGGCTGAGATAGCAAACTGCAATGACCGTGCAACTCTGGGTTCAGGCAGGCGACATCCATGCCAACTCTGTCTGTGGAACCAAGCTAATCTGTCCCATGTAGACTGAAGCCAAGTGGAACCCCTGCCCCTCGTCAAGCAGCAGACGTCTAGCCCCGGCGCATTGCACGACACCCACATTTTAAAGCCTTCACATACCTATTCTGCGGAAGATGAATCACCAAGCACTCGTCCAGGATGTTGCCCATTTCAATCAAACCCAAGGCCCAGATGACCCAACTCCTACTAATAAAGATTTGTTGAATCCGGGCACCTTCAACCTTCTGATCTGGCGATGACTAAACCCGAAAAGAACCACGAGATGGGCCAAGTTTCCCAAGTGCCTGCGGGGGTGGCCCTCGGACGTACACCGGTTAGAGCTTCGGGCTTGCAGGTCAAGGGCTCTTGTTTGGAGGTTCATGGGTAGTTTTGGATACGGTTATAAGTGTGGCAACTATACTAAAAACCCATATGAGGGGGCTTATAACCCCACTTATAACCCAACCGCGCGTCACAGACTGATTTACAGGGTCATGCGGGTAGTGGTCAGCGATTACAGGCTTTCAGCGCCCACAACTGGGAGGGCTTGCAACTACAAAGAGTTCAAAATGGCTTCGGGAATGAGGCCTCTTCAAGCTATCTCCTGGCGTGAGCACTAGGCCAAAGACCTCAAACCTGGAGCCTTGCTTCCTTGGATGCTATGTTCTTCTTTCGGTTCTCTGGCGATACTAGCTGGACGGAGAAATCAGAACCTGCATAACACGCTGCTCTCAACTAGGACCAGGAAAGCAGCAGAGTTTCGGCCCGTTTCCACAACAATTCAGCCCATGACCCTCCAACCAAGTCCTCCCACCGAGTCAGAATGTTACGCTCAGAACCACTCGCCGGCCAATGGAGATCGTCACAACACTATGCAACATGAAAATACAGCAACCCTGCCCTGACCTAGAACAAAAGCCTCCCAAGCTTTGGGATTGGACATTCCGCTCCTGAAGTCCGCAGTTCGGAGGAATTAAGCAACAAGGCTTCGAGATCTTGCTTCAAATTTTCTGCTTAGAGCTGGAAGGCTGGAAGCACCTGTAGTGGCACTGCAACTAAGAGGTGGCTGGCTTGAAAATGTACCACAAGTACATTGGTTGGCACATTCCTTCTCAATGCTTCCTGCAGGAACCTCATCACTCTCTGGGGCTCCGGCGAACGAAAATACATCGCCTCCCTGCGCATGTGCCATGCTGAGCCGGGATACTTACTATGTCGGGTACGGTAGGTTCCCGAAAGTGTGTTGTCCAAATAGGCAACTGCTGAATTGATTGTTGGGAAGTGTTCGTTTGCATTCATGCCTTCTTCGCGCAGTCCACGCATGTGCTCCCAATGCAAAAACTACGGCACCAGGCAGGATGTCTAGCGCTGATCCCTGCATTCGGGAACAGCTCTGAACAAGCCTGACCCACGGCTGTGACGCACCCTCTTGCACAGGCCCTCATTCCGAAGCACAAGACTGCGAATCTCTATCTCCATAAGGCCGGTCTTTTTATGTTGAAGGGTTTCCACACCTGCTGCCATGCCGTTCGTTTGACCAACCCTTTCACGGTACCATTACCATTCCAAGTCGCCATGTTCATATTAGTGATATTGCGCGTGTTACAAGACGTCCTCAATGCCTACTTCTTTGGTGGGCTGAACCGCTACTACTGCTGCTGCTGCTCCTGCTACTGCTGCTACTGCTGCTACTGCTACTGCTACTGCGACTACTACTACTACTACTACTACTACTACTACTACTACTACTACTACTACTACTACTACTACTACTACTACTACTACTACTACTACTACTACTCCTGCTCCTGCTCCTACTGCTACTCCTGCTACGACGACGACTACGACTACGACTACGACACTACCACTACGACGACGACTACTACTACTACTACTACGACCATGACAACGACCATGCTGGCTGTTGCTCACAGTAATTAATAACTTCGAGTAGCTTTGGTTCATCGTTGTCAGGAGTACGACCATGAAAATCAGCATTGATACCATTACAGTATTACACAGCAATTTTAATGGTGGTGATTAGTGCATTTGTCGTCGCCGTAGATGCGCAATTCGTTCTTGCTAATGATAGGACCGCTACTGCTTGCCACCACCATCCCACCAGCTCCCTACCACGATGACCACGCCGGCCATGTTTCCTCGTGCTGCTACGTACTCGACGTTACTTCATTACGGTTGGCCCAGGCCCTCTGTGAAGATGCAGAGGCGGCTCTGCGACGACTCAAACCACAGAAAGGCTGAAGTGAGCCAAGGCGCTTAAACGTGAAACCCAGCTCTTGCATGGCACGGTTCCTCCGAGGTACTTTGATTCAGCTAGCGGACTACCGGGACCATACCTCGCGTATGGAGGGGACGATTGTGATGATTGAACCATGTTTAAAAAGGCTCTGCTTGTCCAGAACTGTGTTGGTTCATGAGTGTCCAGAACTGTGTTGGTTCATGAGTATCTCTACTTGGCAAATAGTCCTTGGCGGGGCCGGGGGGGGGGGGCGTGTCGTTGCAACCCGGACAGACCCATCTTTGAATCCTGGCTACTGTGCTAAGAGGCAGGAACGCCGGAATAGGCAGGAATAGCACGAGGACATCGATGATGACAGCGATGGGGTTGACCGTGATGATGCTCTCAAAGGCAATGTCGGCACCACGAAGTGCTGGTGACAACCCTGATGCTGATGACGACGAGACAGCTAGTGGTGGTGGTGGCGGTGGTGGTGGTGGTGGTGGCGGCGGCGGTGGCGGTGGTGGTGCTGGTGGGGGTCGTTGGGGGGCAGTGAAAGAAGGCGCAATTTATGAAGGCGGACGACAACACTGGCAATACAATGATTGTGATGGTGAGAATGGAAACAGCGCCAGCATGGCAACTCTCAAGGTGGTGGTGGTGCTGACACTGATGCATACTGACGGTAGCATCCAACCTGCTCCCAAGCTCACATGCCCCAAAACCAGGCGCCCGGCCGGCACTCAAGATTGGAGGCTTTGCGGCGATGAGGCTCGTCTTCACATCGCCCACTCTCAACTATCACCTGGTGCTGGGATTGCAGCCAATTGACTTAAAAGCTTGCCCTCCTTTCAAATCAGGACCTCACAAACCATGCAGAGGGAAACATAGCAATACCTTCGCAAGTCTAGACTACATTGCAGCGTGGACCGAAGCGCAAAGTACGATATGGCGAGCTGTTTGGTTGCGACAGTGGGTGAAGAGTCTCGGATAGGCTGGGACTATCACGAGAGAAGTGACGCGAAACTCGCAGACTTGATTAAAAACTTTGCTTCAGCCTCAAGGTCTGCATAAACCTTTGAGCTGTAGGCTGCAGGTGTGCGTGTACCCAGTGCTTGCAGAACAAGACTTCGGCCAGCAACGCCACTCCACGCCACGGTTGCTCCTACGAGAACGAAAACTAGCAGCTAGCAGCAGTTGTCCTGGCACGACAATTCTAATCTCCGAAATCCTGAACGGAAACGGAGGAAGTGTCTGTCTCCACAATGCAAAGGTGCGACTGAGCTACGAATTTCACTTCTTCGAAGGAGCTGTTGCCTTCATCCTCGCAGGCTCCGGCAGAGTTTGGGTCTCAAAGAGTCGGCCGTTTGGGCTGGAAACGGAACCCAGGCGGAGGTTTTTCGGTTCAATGCTTGAGGGGAAGATGCCAAACCAAGAAAGTTTCCACCTTGGGATGCTGTAGCTCATGTCCTGTACCTGCAGTCTCTGCCCAGGAAATTCATATCGATTCCAGCAGGATTCGAACTGCGAGGTTCAGAGGTCCAGGGGGGATCAGCTGGCTACAGGCTTCACACCCTTCGTGCCAGGTCCGTGAATGGAAAGGCAAGGCATGCCACTGGCTACTTGGAGGCTCATGGGTAGTTATAGGTAATTTAGGGCTACAAGCGGCTATAAGTAGGGTAACTATACTTATAACCCATACTTGGGGCCTTATAACCCCACTTATATTTGCTTATGAACCTCCAAGTAGAGGCCCAAGGGCGAACCATGGAACTTTGTGCCTTAATCCATCGATCGCCATTATCGCCTGACCAGTCCTCTTCCCTTGAACACGTGGAACTGCTGCGCTCGGTGGGAGTGGTAATGTCGGGGCCTTAATGATTAGAATCGGGTTTTGGGGACAATTTTACAACCAAAATAGTATTGGTAAGTATTCGAGCCCCTATATTCTAGCACCCTCATAGTATCCCTTAGTGTAGCCCCTATGTTATTGTATTGGTAATTAGTTATTTAGGCCCCCTATATTAGGGGTTCTTCTGGAAGTCCAGCCCGGCAACCACGTAGAGCCATGGAGCGGAGGTTCATGGGTAGCTGTGGGGTGATAAGCCTTTTAATATGGGTTATAAGTAGAGTTACCCTACTCAGAATGTGGGTGCCTTGATATCTTCGAATATCGGTGGATGCTTCGCTCAACAGCATGAAGTTTGCCAAACCGTTCCGGCTCTTCGGGATTGGGAGTTTCAGCCCATGATACAGCCTTTAGGAGGTCGCCCTGAATTCGAGCTCCAGCTGAAACCCTGCGGTCCGTGATTTCCGGGAAGTTCTCCTCGTCGACAGCCTGGGCCACTAGTCCACAGAGCATAGGCACACGAGTGCTCATGGAGGCTCTGGCTGCTTCACACTGTATACATACCAATGTGTGTACATGTAATATAGGGGCCTTAATAATTAGAATAGGGTTTTGGGGACCACTATACCTACTATACTTATAATGAAGGAACCCCCCAAAATAGTCAGAAGTAAGGCGCTGTCTGACGCCAATCACCCAACACCCGACCAAGGCCCACCAGAAGGGTGCCCGGACTCGCACAAGCGGCAGAGCTCTGGGGAATTGTGGTAGTGGTGGCACAGTAACCAGCAAGTTGCCACCCATGCATCCCCGAACCCAAAGGAACCTGCATTTGCCCTTCTGATCATATAAGGCTTTGATAGTTCAAGGGACGATGCGGCTCGCGAGCTTGTTCAGAAGAGATCGGATCTTCAGAAAGTGCTCCTTGCCTTCCTCAGCACACTGGGTTACATCGTCACGTACCAGGTCTTGTGAGAATCTCAGTGAAGTCAAAAATGCCAGACAGGGCATGGAGCACAGAGAGACTCGGAATGACTTGGGCTGGTCCGTCGACGAAGACTCTGTAATCAACCAACAAACCAAGGATAACTACCTGAAGTTCGCCTGGATTCAGGGGCTTTAAAGTCGTGAATCATATCTACACAACTTAGTATCTGTGTTAAATCTAGGACTATCCGCACAAGACCTAAGAAACATCAAGAAACAATCAAGTGGTCTGCAATCCGAATACATAAACAAGCATGGCCACCTTCAGCTCCTTCCTGGCATTGCGCTTCACCACATCGTACCTGCAAGCCGGTGTCTCCATGTGGGTAGTTGCCTTTTCGGGGACCCTAAATAGTAGGTGCCGTATTACATTAGGGACCCAAAAAGGGACCAGAATTTTGACAACCATCCATGTGTATGGTTTGGTGTGGTGGAGTCGGATGAACTCAGGGTTGAAGAGCAAGTTTCCAGCCGGACTTCTAAAGCATTTCTGGTTGTCCAAACTGCGGATGGGGCCTACTACTGACCGTAAAGGTGCCAGTATCGTGGAGCCTAACCTAAATACCACGGCAACAACCATGCCCACCGCGAGGCAACAGCACCGTCACAGCAGGATGCAGGACGAAAGTTCGGATGGGAGGGGGCTCTGGGGACCGATCTCTCTGTGTACAGCTGTGTGAAAGCCAGGAACTGAAGCTATGAGGGTCAGTGAGGATATTCTTCGCATTCGGACAACTGCATCTAATGCAGGATGCGTTGATACACGATCCTTGCACACGAAAGCTTACAACGCGGAAACGTTCTATCTTGGCGCCTCGGGTCTGTAGAAGGCTTGGGGGTTTGTTGCGAGGCAGGACCTGCGATGGGCCACCTGCTGTGCTTGAAGTCCTGATAAGAATTCCCGTTGTTGGGCAGACATGCGAAAGCACTGCCTAGACCCCCAAACCCAAAAGTATAAGAACCATAGCCGTTTATACGTGTTGGGCCATTATTTTACCTACCTTTGGGGGTTTAGGCAATATAGCGGCCTTAACAATTAGAATAGGGTTCTGGGGGCTCCTCATTATCGCTATAGTATAATACACCCCAAACCCTATTCTAAATTAAGGCCACTACATTAAGTCTCAAACCGAAGGTCTAACTTGTCGGAGGCTTGCTAGCAAACGCCTCAGCTCTCTGAAGAAGCCACGGCGGATGCCCCGATCACCTGGGCAAAAGGACTATATCTACAAGTATACATGCACGTACATATATATATATATATGTATGGTTGACGACACAACCCTTGTGCAACAGGCTTGCTACATCGCCTGGAAGGCCGCCTAAACCCAAATTCCCAGCAGTGACAAGAACAAGGATATCGACAATACGACCAGCAACCCAATGTTGAACGAGTTGCGCATGTTCCACAGCCTCTTTAGAACACTGCCGCTGGATCATAGGGGGGCATGAGCCCTTAGAACATTCCGAGCTTAGGTTGATGCTGTAATGCGCACCATCTGCAAGCATAGAATCAACGCCGAAAGCTCCGGCACAACATTACATGACATTACAGTCATTACAGTGACACTGGCTGCTGCATTCTTGCACACACACGCACACATACATGTGTACTTGCTTGTGTGATCTTGTGTGTTTAGAACTGAGATGAACTGAGTAGTGCATGGATTCAGGCGGCGGCTCTGTCACTCTACCTGTCTTGCTGGATATCCTCATGCGCACTGAGGGGACGACCGATCTGAGGCATGTTGATCGCGGTATGACATGCAGATCATTGCCGGAAGTTTTCTGTTTGTTTGGCTGCATGTGAGACGGAAAAACATAAGCTCATACAGATTTGCGCATACTTACAAACAAACCCGGCGGTGAGGTGCCAATGGAATTGAACATCTCCTCCGTCAGGCGCTTGTACTTCGCACCTCGCCTGGGAGACAAGGCATTCACTCCTACATACAGCGCATGCGTCATGTGTATACAGTGGATTATGTACATATATATATATATACATACAGGGTTTGCACCTAAATGAACATGACAGCATACCTGCGCATATTCCTAGATGGTATGTACGTTTGTATGCCAGAGTGTGATTGTATGCATGTGCATGTGCGAAAACACCAGTCTGTCGGTCTGTCTGTCTCTCTCTATATATATATACACATGTACGTATGTATATGGATGTATGTGTGCATATACATACTACATGTGTATATAACGCCACTCACACAGAGAATTACATGCTACGTTGGCGTGCTATTTTGCTCTGATATCCGATCGACGTGATTCTTTGGAGCCGTGGGCGTTGGTGCCTGTGCACCTTTTTCTGCAGGGACGGCAAGGTGGACTGGCCACAAAGCTTCGATCTTCTCATCTCTTCGTGTTCTGGGACTCGGTTCAGGGTCTGCGGTTCTCCCGGCGATTAAAGTGCAAAAGCCGACCAGTGTTCAGACGGAAATCTAGAGGAATGCTGAGAGGTAGAAGTCAGAAAGCCTGGTCTGCAAGGGAAGCCAATGCCCAAACCAGAAGCAAGCCTCTCTCACATACAGCGCAGATGAGCCCCTAGTTGCTACCTCGCAATTCGCCTACAAATCTCTCATCCCCCGAGTGCCCGCATCGGCTTCCCACAAAGGAAAAACTCAAAAGAAATGTCACACCATCCTCGCCTGGAGCTCACCCGCCTCTCCTGCAGCAGGGGAGGTTTGAGAGGCCTAAGCACAGGGGGTGCCGGATGCAGGTACTGATCATCCTAGGAACTTCCTCAACTCTCAACCCCAAGCCATAAATCTCGAAGGTGTCGAGAGAAACCCCCGCTCTGCTTTCCTTCCACTGGCTTAGGGCAAATAGCTCCCAAAGTTGCGGCAAGGACTTTCGTTGCCAGTACACCTCCAACAGTTTCTCGACAGCCTGCTGAGGAGAGAAACCTTCGGTCTTGCAATGCATAGGAGCCCATCAGCCTTGGCCTGCAAACAAAAACGGGTCTCAACTTTCCAAAGATCTGGCTTCGGGAAAAAAGGCTTTCAAAACGGGAAGCCTCTTCCAAAGCGTCACGGAAGTCGTTCCTGGGCCACAGAGCCAGACACGGTTAAGGACAGCTGCGCCAAAAAATCAGCTATGGCATTCTCCCAAACTGGTGTGTTGGACTTGTTTCTTGCAGTCCAGAACTGGATGAGCTTCCGCAAAAACCCGAACCAGATTCAGATGTATCTCAACTTAATCAAAACGACTACAACTTGTGCTATCTTTAATCCGGCATTACGCGGGACATTGCAAGCCCGGCCAAGACGATTGGGCGCCTAATTTCAGTGTTGATCCAGGTGCCGCAGAGTTGGGAGCAAGGGAAGCTTACACTGTGGCCACGGCATTGCGCTGTTTACCTTACCCTTTCACCAACTGTCAGGGAGGGGCCGCGAGTAGCTTGCCTAAGGCTCCGAGGACCTGTAGGCCGTTGCATGTCCCTAAGCAAGCAGTCTACTGCAGCCGCCACTCGGCTACCAAACACAAATCCGAAATGCGGCAACAGTCAAACCCCCCGAGCGGTTCCAAGTTTGGCATATTTGGACTAAGCAGCGCTGTGAGGTTGAGGAGGTCGGCAGCCTGGCACAATGGAAGAAAACCCCTACGCTCTGTAACACAGGGAACGCCCAACTTTCCATTTGAAGGATCTGCAGGTCCCCACTGAATTCCGCGGATGGTGTATCGGCTTCCACACCAACCTATGAAACTACAATAATAATACTATCCCGGCAGCTCAAACCCTCCCAGTCCGAACCGCTGAAACCAAAGCTCAAGTAGAGGGCATCTTGGACTGGGCTCTTGTCTTTCGGATGTTTCAGGGAGGCTACACCTCAAGGGTACCGTAGTATGGCACCGTCGAACGGCAGTTGAGGGCTCCGGCTTCCTGCAATCTCCTTAAACTGGTAGCATGAGCCTCGCTAACTCTTTCTGTCGACATGCATGATTTGCAGCTTTGAGCTTTTGGGTTTCCAGACGATGGGGCTAGGCCAAGGGCTGCCTTCGAAACCGGGCCTCCTCCTCCACCCAGATGCCACGCTTGCGGTCCGCGCCAACGAAGGCGCCCCTGCGTAATGAGGATGTCTCCCACGGGTAGGGTCAGGCCCGGTTAGGCTGGGCCCACCTCGCCTTGCTCTGTGCTCCCCTCTTGCACTTACGAACTCTTGGGATTGAGAGCTTCTTCGGTTTCGAGCCTTGCCGCTACTCTGCTACGATTTCAGGATTAGGGTGTAGGGCAAAAGCACCCGTAGTACGTGCTTTTGGTGACAACACCTCCCATGACAACACTGTAGACTGTAGACGGTGTCAAGCCTAAAGGTCTAGGGCGGCAAAACTGACCAACAACCTTGCGAAAGAACGCCGCCCGACATCAGCATTCCAAAAACTCGGCCTCACAGCTCTGTAGGCTTTGCGGATGTTGCGGGTGACGAAGTTACCCTTCACATAATTCCTGGCTCGGTGGCAGCAGGCCGATCCCAGTCGCTTTAACTTGACCTTCGGCATCTTCACTGTCATCATCCACTGCATCATCACTAGCCGCGTGCCAAAACGCATGTTGCTCGAGTCTGGAACTCGAAGGCACATTCAACAGCCCAGCAAAACACCATGGTGCCTGCCCTGCTAGATTTCTGGCACCTTACTACCCCTTTGGGCTTGGCTTTGTCAGCTTGATGCAAGAACGAATGCGCTTCAGATTCAGAGGTACTTGGACACCTGAACAGTCCTTGACGTTGTGCACGGCTTTGTCACTATCCGGCCTATATATATATATATACACACATACACATATACATATATACATATATACATATATACATGTATACACATACACATATACATATACACATATAATAAACATGTAATATATATATATATATATATATATATATATATATATATTATATCATATTATATTATATTATATTATATTATATTGTATTATATTATATTATATTATATACTATATTATATTATATTTTAGTCTATTCTATTCTATTCTATATTCTATCATATCATACCCTATCATATCATATCATATCAAATGATATTATATCATATCATATCATATCATATTATGTTATATTATATTATATTATATTATATTATATTATATTATGTTATGTTATGTTATATTATATTATAACATATTATAATATATGTATACATATTATATTATATTATATATAGACATATATATATATATATGATCACATACAACTGTCAACTCCCAACATGAGATCACTCAACTGCAGAGGCCAAAACAAGGTCTTTGAACCCTTTGTCTCCGAAATTGGCACCTAGGCATGACCCTCACACAAACGCCAGAATCCCAACAGTGCTTCGAAAAGGAAAAGGCATGCTCAAGCCTCGGTGGAAGTATTTTGCAGGCATCTCTGAAAATTCTGCATCATGATGATTCCAATATGTATCCCGAGAAAGAGCACCAGCTTTGCTTGTCGCAGCTTGGGCACATCATGTCCAGAATCTTGTTGATCTGGATGTTTACATTTCCTGCACGGCAACTGTCATCATGACAATTAGTCGTGCAATTGTCACCGCAAGATCATTTGATTTAATGCCGGTTTTGCTCATGTTGTGGAGCCCCTTCTGACCAGCGTTGTGCCTGCTGAGGGGAAGTGGAAAGGTTGCGCAACGCTGGTGTTAACGAGGACTCGCCAAAGAACCTTGACTCGGGGGCTCGGTTCGGTTCTCGACCTTGGAACTCCGAAACCCAAAGCTACAGCTCAAGCATGCTCAAGCAGTGGGCTCGAGACTTTGTCGTTATCCCGAAGCGAGACCGTGAATACTTTGATTCGGACAAGAACACAAGCAGGCATAGTGCCCCCTTGCCGGCGAGCAGTAGTAGCAGTACGTACTCTCCAACTAAGAAAACACAACAGGAGTCGTAAGAATACCTATTATAATGCTGACGATCGCAGTGCTTGCCCCAGAATCAGAAGGCATTCAACACATAACTATCCAGAACATGAGTGTAACCATTGTTAGTTGCTACATCTGCTCGTATTCTATATTATACTCTTATTTATTTAACTCTTACACTATACTTTCTGCTGTATGCTGGATCTTTGCCAGGTTGCGGATGTTGGTTTCCCAACCCAAGACCTGCTGCGTCCGCTCGGTACCTCAGAGATCGTGCAATCTCAGGGGGGCCAGCAGCGCGCGACAATGATTCTGATTCCCGTGAAAACCTCCTGTTCCCAGAGTTGTGGACGCTCAGGGCTCGGGAGGGCTGGCCAGGTCTATTGTAGAAGCTTCACAGCCTAGGAGATGTTGGTGCATCGCGGAACCGGCTATCGGGAGATTGCACCGCGTTCCTCGTGCCATATGGTAAGTATGGACTATGTCTACGATCCCAGCTGGGATACCTGCTCTTCGATGTTGTTTCAATTCACAAGCTACAGTAAATATCCTTTCGGTGCTGCACTGGCTCAGGCTCCGAACCTGAGCTTGGAGTTGCTTTTTAAGCTGTATGGGGCAGGCGCAGGGTGCAGTGAGAACTTGAAGCCTCCACTTGCTCCTTCTGACGAGCTGCAGCAGCTTTGGAACTCCTTCCAGACGCCGCTTTGCGTCATTTTGCGAACCTTCCGAGCATCCGGCAGGCATGGTCGAGTTGATGGAGACAAATTCTGGCCCACAAAGGGGCTATGTATAGAAAGCCGCTTCAAGAAAGCAAAGTTGCAGATTCACCCGGTCAGGTTCACCCGGACACTCTTGGTTCTCAGTGTCTGACTTCAGCAATGTTTCTCAACGCTTCCGACAAGATGTGCACGATTGATTGCTACGAATCGATGCCGTCTTTGGCAGAAGCATGTGCCAGGGCAATCTGCCTCCAACTTTCAACACACGATGACTAAAGTGGTGATCCCAGCAGAGATCCATCCTGAGGGCTCGCTGTGCGCTCTACAAACTCTTTCAGACTATCTCGAGCCTTCCGGAAGGAGCAATCCTTCCTGAGATGCTGGCGGGTGAGTCTTCCTGTATTAAACATGGGACTAGCGAAGCTCCTGAGCGGCTGCGAGTCTCATCACCACTAGAACTTTGACGAGTTATGTGAAGAAGACGCTCAGGAGCACTCTGCACGAACGGTCTCAGGCCTGCAGGCTACAGGGGCTGCAGTATAGCTTAACCGCAGGCTGGTGCAAATACAACTCGGACCAAGAGTCGAATCTTGCTCGACGAGCTTGTCAATCCTCAGCTTAGTTCCTTAGATGTCCCGAGCTTTCTTTGGAAGGGATGGGGCGGCTCGACGGCGCTGACTACTTCTCGTGTCGGGCTTTGGGTCGCCTTTCAGGGACGGGTGGCTGCAGTTTCTGTGAAGAAGGCTATCGTTTCCGTTCGTCACTTGCAGCACTTTTCAACCGCTTGTCTATGCCTTCCAATGAGCTGTCAAGACCAAATGCTAAAGCTCCGAAGAACCCAACACTGGAAGTGAGTCCAGGGTCTGAAGAGATTGAGAGGGTTCAGCCACTGCTTCAGTCTGGTGAACCGAGTCTGCTCCTGCGGCCACGTTGCAGAGGTTTCGGGTTCTTTTCGGATGCCAGGCTAGACGGCTAGACTTGCAGGGGCATCAGAACCCGTAGGAAGTCCGAGTTCGCTAGACTCGACTTGTTTCGGTGTCAGGTGCTGTCGCCGCCTTGCATGGCCAATCAAGTAGCACATGCTTCAGTAGCACAAGCAGGACTGCCAACGGCAATATCGCCAGCACGCCGCAATGGCGAGCAATCGCAACGCCCCACCTCTCTATTTCCGCCTCTGCCTGTTGCAAGCAATCGATGCTGGTCTGCCCCGTTCCTCCGCCGGCAGGACCAAATAGAATTTCGCCAGGGTGTCGAGAAGACCTTTGCACATAACAGGGAACATCAATGGCAGGATAACTGGCCAAACTGTCGTGCGAGAAGCTACGCGCAACGAGGCAACCCAAAGTGTGTTCATCGCACAGGCAGAGACACGACATAGAGCATAGATGCTTCTGTATGGCTTCCCTGGTCTGTCGACGTACCATTTCGGCTAGACATCCTGAATCCCGCCCAAGCCTGAGACCATAAGTCATGTACCCGAACTCCGCGCCTGTGTCTTTGGGCGAATACCGAATGCCCCTTTGCCTCGCCTCAAGGAGTTTGTCCTTGGATCGCTCCAGTCTACGCCGAGCACAGGAAATCCATCCACATATATATATATATATATACATATGTATATATATATAATATCATACACAGGACCCGACATTACATTTGAATATTACCATGTATGACTAGAAGTTAATGACAATCGAAACAACAACGCCAACCGGCCAGTCTGCAGAGGAGACCTAGCGCGCAGTTTAATTAAACTAAAGCCCGTGCCTGTGCACTTCACCGGTTAGTGTGTTTTACTGCAGATCGACGGTCAAAGGTACATGGCCCCGGAACTTCCCAGAACAGCACAGTTTCGAAACACTGTGAACAAAGCACTGTTGATTGAGGACGGGCTGGGACGCTGGAGTTCCGGCTCCTCATGCACAAAGAGCTAACGAACCAGCGGATGCTGTCAAGTCTCAGTCGCCTGGCGCAAGCTCTGGCTCAGCTCGTCTAAGATGGGCATATACGTCCTTGATCTTGCGGTTGTATGTTGCAGAATGCAGCGAGCTGTCTCTTGAGTTTCGTGATGGGGTCAATGCTTCGACTCTGGGATGCGTAAGGCAAGGCTCCACTTGAAACTGCTTCTAGTCTTGCCGCATAGGTTCTACGGCGGTCCTACGGAAGGCAAGGGGGACCTTTCGATTCAAGCCGTGCCCGATCCTCACACACACACGGATACTGCAATCGGGGACTTACGGTAAGGAGCTCATCCCACACATGTCGATGCCAGCGAATAATTAAGATCGGACCCGTCCACAAGCTGGGCCCCGGAAGTTTGGGGTGCTTCACAGCAGCCATGGCACAGGGGAGAATATTTCGCCAGGCCGTAAAAGTTGTTGTGCCTCCGCCTCCTCACCAACGAGGGAACCATGATTCTGGTAATCCTGGCTTGCAAGGCCAATTACCAAGACTGCCTTCCATTGAACAGCCATCATAAAGGCTGGTTGAAGCTTCATCCAGGCAGAATGGAAGGAGCCAAGAATGGCGACAGCTTTGCTGCCAATCACCAAATTCAATGCAGCAACGCGGCCTTCCTCGGTCATGTTCACTTGAGACTTCCAGAAGCGAGTGCTGAATCGATCCTGTCCCGTGCGTGCATTGGTCGTGTAATGAAGACGGAGTCCCTGATATCCACACCATCGCTCCAAAAGCTGCAGTTCTGCATGGTCCTCGGTTTGAAGCAGAACATCCGCGATTCCGTAATGTTCCTTGAAGATTTTGAGCTGCGAAGTAAACTCGCGCATCTCGATGTGGGGCACCTCAACACTCTTGTTGCCACGCCGAACTGCTGCAACAACAAATGGACGATTTCGTATCCCGTGCATGTTCGCAAAGTGATCGGCTGCATCCTGGAGCCATGGAAGAGGATTCATGAGGATACGAACCATGGCAGCATACCACCATAACCTTCCCTTCGAAACAATGCTCGGGAAGAAGGCCTCATCACTTCTTTGTGACGCTCGCCAAAGAACCTGTCGTTCGTTGCAAGTGCACGATGAATTCTGCTTGCCTGCGTCGACATCATTCTGCCAGTCTGGAAGTGTGGACAAATCTTGTCGGATGGCTTTTGCAACCAGGTCTGAACGCTCACACCTGCTCCAGAATTGAAAATAGCACTTCAGAGAATGGGGTGGGTCGCTGCACCATCGCTGGTGCCACCTCGTGTGGTCCCGATCTGTGACCGCAGCGGCTTCTACGAGGACGCGCTCCTCCAAAAAGGCATGTAAAAAGGCGCCAAAGAGGATGAAGGCGTTCCAGCCAAAGCCAGAAGTTGTCCGGTCGTCGTGGTACACCATGTAGCGGGCATTTTCGCAACTGGACGGGTTCTGGCTTTCATATATCTTCTGTAAGATATCCTCGGCACTTCGAAGCCGAAGGCTGCGCAAGGATGAGGCCGTGGCGCACCATGAGCCGCCGCAGCGCAGTGTCCCAACGAACCTCATGGTGGTGAACATTTCCTTCGGCTTCGGTGCCAATGCACCCTGAGCTGGAGCGACGATTTGTTCCGAAAGAAGCCATGCCAACTCTCGGCGAACCTCCTGCTGGTCTTCTGGTGCATCGGTGTGCTCGGAGCCTGCACCGGTGACAATAGTGCTTGCGGCGATGAAAAGCCACTGTGGCCGGCGGGGGGCCGGCACCATCTCCCATGGCGCCACAGTCTGCGCAGTGCCAGGACGAGAACGAGCTGTGTAAATCACTCAATACACTATAAAGTACTGGATATGTAGCAAAAACGCCCGAAGAACATCAGGCACCCTCCTCCTGCGCTTACCGGCATGCGCACTTCTTTACAGCGGGCCTATCTGGCTAACTTAATTCGGAGAAGCGGCATAATGGTTTCGCTACAGTCAGGTCAATTGATGACGACACGAAGCCACAGAACAGAGACTAGACTGAAACTAAGTCACCCAGCCGTCTGGACTATCAGATACACTGAAAAAACAACCCCCGTTGCATGCGACGGCTTACCCCATTTTACGTAGGATGAAGCCCTAGGACAATGAAAAAGAGAAATGGCCACGGAGAGCACTCCTTGCCATGCGCATGTAACTAGGATCCCTTTCCGCCCATACATCTGTGCCTGAAATTTGGGAGTTTCCGAAAATAGGGGACCTAATATAGTCTACCCTCGATAGTCGGATTCTTAGTATAAGCACCCCCAACAGGGGTACCCCTAATTTTCGGAAACCCCCCATTTGAACGACGGAAGCTTTGTCTGATTAGCTTTTTCGGCTCTGGGTCATGAGGAGTTGCACATGACCCTGTTTGCCCTTGGCCTACAGTGGATCGTCACACAGGCTCTTGAGAGGTACTATAGGGGCCTTAATAGTTAGAATAGGGTTTTCGGGCCCATTATACTTTCGTTATAATAAGGAAACCCCACTATATACGTAATGATTTAAGCCCCTATGTTACATGAATCTGGATCGGGATGTATAGTCCTGAGACTCACTCAGGCAGACAAATGGTCCAGGGCCTGGGCTACTTTCACTGGAGGACCAGGGCAAGCAAACGAGATGCTGCCAGCTGATGAAATCACTCCTGCAACAGCCCGCAGAACTGCAAGCCGCGTGCAAAGAAGGACCGTACAAAGACCAAGAGCCTGGCTCAGATAGACAAAGGCTGTCCGAAAATCCGGAAATCGCCAATTTTGGACAAGGCGCTCATGCCGTTCCACGACGACGGCGTAGCAAACCGAAAGTCTTTCTTGATCGCGTGCCTGCAAGTCGCATTCATTGTACTCTGACATTCTGTCTACAACACTGCGAAGTTGGCAGCGATGTCTGGAACAATAGAAATGATACCCGTGCTGGGGAGGCATTCGGGCAACAACTCCTACGGCGTCCCACGTATGCAGCGGCCACCAAATGCGGTTCATGTTGACATTGTCAAGAGCACACTTGCAACTCGCCAGTGTTGGCCGAACCGCACCTTCGATGTGAGATATATGGCGCGTGCTGTCGCGGACTTTGTGCAATGACGGTTTTTTGACACACACACACACACACACACGCAGTCCCAGAGCTTGTTGTATGTCTGTAGATCCCATGAGGTAGCCTTCAACCATCTTCTCCGACATAGAAGGCACACCAAGTCAGCGCTGCCCGTCCGCTTCAAACGCTGACTTTTGCTTTCAGTGTCTGGTCGAGATGCTATCTGAAAACTTAGGAAAAGGGTATACGCAGAGTATAGCCATGCAATTCTCGCCTCGCGGGGACAACTTTCGCCGGACCTTCCGCAAAAAAAGACAATAAGATTCGGACAGCTCAGCCCACGGCTCTTTTCTGAAGTCGGCGTCGGAAACGCGACGGCACCTTCGAAGGCTTCATGCCGTCGAGCACCTGGCTGGGGTTCCTACAGCTACACTGCGTCGTGGGTATAGTTTTATCAGTGTTTCTTATAAGTTGTTACGAGCATTTGTCACCAGTCACCACGGCTTGTCCGGAAAAACTGCAGGTCAGGGATTGCGGCTGGATGCATGGCAACTTGTTTTCACTTCAACGGCAACGACAATGTTGGAGCTCACCCCTCACCACTGGTCTCAGACCGTGCTTTCCAGCAGCAGCCGGAAGCTTGGTTCAAGTAACTCGATGCAAAAACAACTTTAAAAGCAGTTCGCTGGTGCCATGCCTTAGAGGCATATATGGGCAAAAACTGAATTGAGAAAGGGATCGGTGCTGGAATCCTTGATCAATGCATCAGCGCTGCACTCTGTGATGCTGGAAGTGCCTTCGGCCCAGATGCGCACAGCAGGAAAGCTACGATTGTGGCACTGAGGGCTTCGGCCAAGAGGGCTAGGGGTGGGAATATGAAAGGCAGCATCATGTCCACGTCCTGGCGTCTCATGACGGCCTGGCGAGCCGACCACACAATAGCAAGGCCAATGAAGCCACCAAAGAAAGCTCCGACAAGGGCCCAGCTGTGCCGTGGTGCGCTGGGTGAGCGGCCCAAAGATGAAGCAAGCATCTCTGCAGCAGTGCAGCTGTGGACAGCGACTGCAGGAAGCAAGAAAAGAACGAAGGGCCACCAGTGCACGGTTGCGGCCAGCAACACCAAAGAAGCAAGCAAGCGGTGAACCTTCTTGAAGCTGCTAGCCAGCCACTGCTGCTTTCGTAGCGATGCAATCAGGGTGTGGATCAACAGCAGTGAAGCAGTGACCATGCCAAATATGTAGAGCATATTCTCACCATCTGAAGGGGATGTGAGCTTTATGTAGGTCCACAAGCCTTTGTCGATGAACCAGATCATCTGTCCCACAGCGTGCACTGCTCCCCACACGGCTGTCCACCAGCCAACTTTTTTATGGAACTCAAAGACAGCACTGCGTGGTACTCCTAAGCAAGGAGCTACTGCATCACTCACCGGAATGGCAATAAAGGCCAAATGCCAGCTGAGAGCATATGCCGCTGCTAACGACACCGCACACGCAACAGAGACAAAGCCACTGCGGAAGAAGGGATCCCACAGGAACTGCACAAGGGGCAGCAGGAACCACAACCAGGAGACGAAGACCCAGGCTTTCATCCAGACCTTGTCAGATGCCTCAGTTCCGGTGGCACCTGTTGCCGTGAAATTCACCAATTCCTTGTGAAGCGCCATTCTGGCCGCGCCAACAACCAGCGGCGCACACCACAAGAAAGTGACGATCAATGCCATGGCAGTGAAGCCTGCAAAGACACCAGGAAAGAAACAGTACTGGTCAGATCGTCCTGATAACCTGGTGCAAAACTTGGGGCCGTCAAGATTGACAAGACCACCAACGCCACCAACTCCACCAACCGGCAATCCAGTTGGCATCAGTGCTTGCCTAACCGGCTCGTACAACACGGCTAGTAGTAGCATGCACTCCAAAGCCCGCACCAGGCTTCTACTCATGACCGCCATCGCGTGTGTCTCGGAAAGGCACCTCACCGAGCAAGACTCTACCCCTCTTTACAGTCACCTTGAGCCTTACATGAGCTTGTCTTGGTTGGGCTTCGGATGGCTGAGCTTGCCATCAGGCCCAACTTCCCACAACTGGAAACATTGAAACTTAATCTGGCAAAGGACTGATTCAGAACATGTTTAGGCTTGCAGACATATTCAACTGCCCAGCACTGACTGTGATTCTCACCTTACTACTAGCGGTAGCAGTCGTTTGAACGAGCTTGTCAACTTGATTTCCGGAGCATGGCTGGATGAACAAACTCATTGAGGCTTTTGCGTGGAGGGATGGCGTGATGAGCACACGTTGCGAGGATGAGGTGCGAGTGGAAACTGGTTCAAAGAGGTTGCCGCACTAGCACCACGCCTGCTCGAGGCGGCTTTGACGGACAACCGAACTGCAGCACTTACTTGAACCCAAGAGGAAAAGGACCAGTGCTCACAGTTCTGTGCTCTGGCGATTGCAAAACTTGTGAAATCCTGACATTCACACCCGTGTCATGCAACATCCACCAAACAGGCAGGCACCCCATCAACAGCAGCGAGCACCAAGGTACGGGCAAGAAAGGGCAGCCCAACGTTTACTATCCGACAGGGCTACAACCTAAATAAAAATACGCCCAAATCGAAAAGACCACTAGCAATCCATAAGGACTCTCCTATCGCCTGGTCCATAGCATCGAAGTTTTGCACGAGCAGATCCATGCGCCGGACCAGATCCTTGCAGCAAGTTTCTTTAGGCTTATAAAACGGTATGACATACCGGGTATGTGTTGTGATTAGACGAGTCTTGAAGACCTTGGATGCTGAACTGCCTAACGGGGCTTGCATGTATCTCAAGTTGGTAACTCAAAACGACCTGGGCACCGAGAGCATCGGCAACACTTTGATGTAAAACGATGTCAAGCATGTCTCATGATGCGATACTCTGTTTCGGGGCCTCCGCCGTGCGAACTGCCACTCGCAGGTTTAGCTTCGTCTCGAGGATGGCGGAGATGAAATTTACGTGGCTCCTGGACATTCTCAGAAGGACTTTGCAGGCAAAACCTCGGTCTGGCCAGGACTCTTAGACTGCAAGAAACGACACCAAAACAACCGGTCATGCCTCCCCCCTTAACCCTAAACGCATCACTCTGGTACCCACCTCTCCCGCAGCCCCCCTCGGCCCTTCAAGCCGAAGTCCTCAGAAGCGATGCCTCCCTGATCATAAGAAACACCGCCTTGCAAGGAGGTGCTTGAATCCTTGCAACCGCTTTGTAATTTAGGCTCAGGGTTTCGACCCACACACTCGCACGAGGCGGGCTGAGGGTTTAGGGAATTGTAGGGAAACGATGCACCTGATTTCTTGTCCATGCTTCCCCCTGCTGCGGATTCTTTTGGAGGGAACAGGAGCCTGCTTCCACTCTGCGGAATCGGGACACCCTGGAAACTTAATCAAAGTCTTCATCCATGAACCGTAAGCGCCTACTCAGCTGCCCTGGGTGTGCACTTGAAAAGCCCCACAGAATGAACCTACGAAGAATCAAAGGCAGGCCTCCGGAAACAAGTTCGTCTCGGAAACATGCAACAAGCCCCTTTCTCGATAAGCCCAAGTACCCGCCAAGCATGCAAACCAAAATTTCAAGATATCCCCCTGGCATTTCACATTTTCTACTGGTTCCAGCTTCACAGCTAAAAAGTACCAGTCATCTGCCTTACTGTGACGGTGACGAAAACAGAAACCTCAATGTGACCCATAATGTGACAGTATGTGACAGTAATGCCTTCTTGCTGGCCGTGAATGGAATCTGCTTTCCACATCCGAAGCCACTGAACCGAACTTCGCCGAACAAACTGGCAGCTGGCAAGGTATCTAGCCGCCTCCTGCACCTTCTTGGACATGACTCCTGTGTTGAGGCAGCTAGGGCGAGGTCAGTTTGTCAGCCGGATCCAGCGGATCAAGCCACTGCATGTGGCAAGGAGACATGCAATATGACACAGCCATATCCAAAACTAGATCCGCAAATTCAAAAAACTCCAGGACCTGACTCGTAATCCTGTACCCCTCGACCGAACCACGCAAGCTGCCTGTGGGGCCCGTTCGCGGCCACACACGTTTCTGTGTGAAGGTCCCGTCCCAGGCGATTTCCTGACAGAGAGGGGGTCTCTTGTGCCAGAAGATGTGCGGCGTGCGCCCCGCTAGTTGATCTAGCAGAAAACTTGTAGTCAAGTCATTTTTGGCTCCCGCTTGGCATATCCGAAGAAACGCTAGTCAAGTCATGAAGCTAAGAATCCGAGAAACCACCCTCGGTGTCGTGGCCGGTTTTGTTGAGGAAAACTTTTCAGGGTGTGCAGGTAGCGCAGAGCGTTGAACCCTTCAGATGCTCAGATCCCGTTATCACGAACATTACTGACGTTGCATACTATAGTCGTCCTAGCGTGGCCATCCGTGGACATGCTTGAAACTAATCAGGCTTGAACTGCCTGCACAGGAATTGACTTGCTGTTCGTAAACGATGACATAGGGTTCCGCGACAAGGCATTGGCAATGACAAGGCATCAATGGTTCATCAGGCTTGAGCTACTCAGTGCTTAGAAGAGATTACACTCGTAGTGAGTGTAGTTTACAACGCGGGAACCTTAACACAAGTTGGTGATTGCATAATCTGCGTTGCAGTGATCGGACTCCGGAATGTCACTCAACCCGTGCATACTAACACCGGTTGAATTCAAATTAACGATCCGACGTGGTCAGACGCTACCTCCAAACCTGACCCCACCCCAAGCCCGGGCACGAAACCATGGTCCAGACTTCTCAGTACTCCCTCGAACCAAAATCCGTCCTTGAGAAGGGCTTCCCAGCCGCTGATGGCCCCACTTAACTGGTCCTCAAGGCGCCAGATGACCACCTGCTGTGCAAAACCACTTGCTGGGAGGTTCCTGGGAGCGTTGGAACTGGAAATCCCTCGGTACCAGTAGACTAGAGGCATTGTCTACAAGGCCAAAGTCCAACCGTGTAGGAATGATCGGGAAACCCAACTCTCCCGCTTGATTCCACCCTGCACTGGGCTTGGCCTGGGTTCCGCTCACAGCCCGCAGGGGTAGACTCACCTTCACGCTTTTCCTGGCGTCCAAAGGCTTCTCTTGGAAAGCGGGGGACCGACTAGTGCAGGGTTTGTGCGATGCTCCAAGAAGTTACGCTGTCCAACTGTGCTTTACCATATATGACAGACATCCAAAGGGACCGTCAAGGGGTGCTATACTCATGATCGAGGCTCCTGTACCGTCACGTGTTTCGAAAGTGCTGGTCGGGACTGGAGAAGGCTGTGGCCGAGCAGTCGCCGCCCGCTCGTTTTCCGCATTGTGTGACGTCTACGGCTTTGTTTACCACTTCCGGGCTTGAGAATCACATCGAGCAGATCAACTGCAAGTGTATGTGCAACCAAACAATTAGGAAACTGGAACACTGCGACGATGCCCAAACATCACCAAGCTTAAGTTTACATAAGTCACTGAAACACTGCTGCAAAGGCAAATGTAGGACCTTCAAACAACCAGGGGCCCCGAGAATGGCTGGATCGTAATTTCGAGGACACCCTTTTTTATCAATGGGATCTTTAAGTTTGTGGAAACTCCCTCGTGGCCCTGGTGCCACCCAGTAGCAAAGCTTTCTTCATCCAGGGCGACTTCCTAGGATGGTGGCAGGGTCATTTGGTTGGCTGTTGCGGTGCACGCTTAAACCGTCCCTCACCTCAGTTGCATGAGCCCAGGAGCGACAAGACGGAAGCGTCATGGGTTCCAAACAAGGGGCGGCTGACCTGGTCAGCCTTCATGTTGCCCCGGGTTTCCAGTGGGATGCAACCACAAGATTTTCGACCAGCCGTCTTAGCACTAGTCTCGGTGGTCGAGCCTTTGCACCTCAACTCCTATTGACAGTGTAGTGTGGAGCCCTGCCCGACTGCGCAAGAAGATGCCAGACTTAAGGCGCTAATTTTTTTGCCCCAACAACCGTCGACTTGTGAGGTCGGATATTCCTGCCTCTTCTTTCCACTCCATGCCAATGTTCAACAGATCCAGCACACCCTGCATCTATCCCGTGCGGCGGCAGCCGTTCAATGTTAGTGGAGGTGAATCGTGGTCGGTGGCAAATAGCGCTCCCGAAGCCGTGTCCAATGGGATTGGGACATGGGAATGCCCAATCCTCTCTTCTTCTTGCAACAACTTGAACAAATTGAAATCGCATCCCCCTGTAGTCCTTATACAACTATATTACGATGATTGAATGTACACTAAATCCCGCTCTAAATTCTGACTACCAAGGCTCCGGAAACATGCACTAGCAGCTCCCTGGAACGAACAAGGCTATGGTGACTGTTCCCGACCCCTGATGCTAGTCTATATATCATATAAACATATATGTATGCCAATGCAATTATGTATGCATGCATGCATACATATATGCTTTCCTACAAGCCTACATCTTTCTCTCTGGCATGGAAGGATCCGGTGGA